ACCTACAGTCTTATATTGTCAGTAACCACCGAGCTGAATGTCTGTGTTCTGGCATTACTAAACTTGATAAGAAGATAAAGCTTTGGAACCAATAAGAGGTAGACCGTTGCTTCTACTGATCAGTTCTCAGGAGTCAAGAAGACAGTGAAAAGTCAGCTTCCACGTTTGGTGCCAACAAGTGGGCCAGAAAGGCATGAGCCCTCCTGCAAATGACAGGAGGAGGTTGTGGGGAAGGCAGTGTGGTGAGACAACCAAGCCCTGACAGAAATACCTTAGTTCTGCTCTGCTTACTGCAGAGAGGATGAGTCAGCTGAAAGTCGGTGTCCAGGAGCTGTTGAAACCCAGGCCAAGACATGTCACTAACGTCAACTGTCATCAACTGTCATCAACTACAATCAAACTCGAGGGAGAGTCAAGACTGAGAGTTTCCTGCCTTGGAACAAAGAATAGGCAATCAGAGTCCTTGGTCCTAAATTCCATATTCTCTGCAGTGAATATGTAGGTAGATTTCCTTTTTAAGAAATCTTCCATTTGGTCATGTCAGGGATGGAATGTTTGTGACCCTACGCCCTACCCCCTCAGCTACTTTCATATTTTGCAGCTCTGACCCTCCCACTGTGGCTGAATTTGGAGTAAGGAAGTAATTAGGTTTAATAAGGTCATAAGGGTTGGGCCCTGATCTGAAGGGATTGCAATACATTCTTATTAGAAGAGATGCCAGAGGGGTGCCTGGGTGGGTCAGTCGGTTGAGGGTCTGCCACTGGGCTCCCCACTCAGCAGGGAGCCTGCTTCTCCCTCTCTCTCTCTCTGAGCTCCCCCCCCCCGCCGCCCCCCCACCCCCGCTGGTGCTCTTTTTCTCTGTCAAATAAATAAATACAGTCTTTAAGAAAACTAAAATTAAAGGTGTTTTTAAAGAAAAAAAAAAAAAGAGAGACGCCAAAGAGCTCCTGCTGTCTCTTCTTTCACACATGCATCAAGGAAAAGCCATGTGAGGACACAGCCAGAAGGTAGCTGTCTGCAAGCCAGGAAGAGAGTCCTCACCAGACGCGAAATCAAACAGAACCTTGATCTCGGACTAGTAGCCTCTAGAACTGTGAGAAAAAACTTACTGTGGAAGCGATTTAGTCTATGGTATTTTGTTACTACAGCCTGAGCAACTCACACGATGCCTTAGAGAGAATCGCAGTAAGCCATTTGTTTCCTTCCTATTTAACTCCAGGCCCAACTAGAGCATGAGTATTTGATGTTAGTCACTGTTGATTATTATAAAAAGACATAAGGGGATCAATACAGTATATCTACAAAATGCTAGACAAATGTTCATTGTTAAATTAGGAAGTGAGTTTGAGTGTCCCAGAGTAGACAACTAATTTCCTAGGGTATCAAGAACATTTGCAGATAAGCCGCTTGAGCTGTTGCCATTGGCCTTGAAAAACAGCAGTGAGTGGGAGTCAGCAAAGTACAGACTGGTGGGCTTGACTTTGGTCCAATTTTAGAGAAAATGATTTAAATGGATGGTTTGCAGGCCCTTAGAAAATGAAATGAACGTTAGGCATAAGTGGGGTTTTTTCTAAGAATACGTGCTATCAGACTAATCTAATTTCCGACTTTTTGATCTTTCTTGAAACAAGGCTAGGTTTCAGATACGTGTATACTCACTGACCTACTGGTCCAAGTCTCCCAATTAAATGGGATTACTGGGGAATCCTGCAAAACATCGTAAAGATGGATTTTAGAAGGCTTTAAAAATAAGAACAAATAAGTTGATAAATGTGGGCTGTGTGCCTCTGAGGTTAGAGAGACTATATATACCTAATGGCTTGTTTGCTTCTGGTCTTTGGTGGTCACTCTGACCCTGTCACATTCTTCAACACTTGGGACCCCAACACTGGAAGAGCATGAACTTGGGGCCAGATCGACCTAGGTTCTTACCAGTGTCCCTGAGAAAATCACAAACTCTCTTTAAGGCCTCAGTTTCCTATTTGGAGAATGAGGATAATGACCATGGATAACTCCTCAGGTTCCTAAGAGAATTTATTGGTTCAGGCTTTCGGCTTCACAGGTGATTGGTAATTGCTGGTTCTTCTCACTGGAAAGCACGACCCCAAGCCCAGGAGGCTTCAGGAGAATGGAATAACGAGCTGAATGGGTGGAAACTGCCATAATACCAACTCATTCTCAGGCTGGTACAGACCTCATCTGAAATGTGTTCCATTCTGAGCTTAGAGGGGAATCTTGTTAAACAGAAGCATCTCAGAGGAGGGGGCCTGGAGGTGAACTGGAGGAACTTCCTGTGAGGGACGGCTGACAGGTTAGACATGCTTTCTCCAAGAAAGGGCCTGGGATGTGCTGGGCGCCTCTCCCCTCGTCATATACACTATCACTGTGCCCTTCTGTTTCTTTTCTTTTCTTTTCTTTTCTTTTCTTTTCTTTCTTTCTTATTTATTTTTTAAAGATTTTATTTATTTATTCATGAGAGAGAGAGGGGGGGGGGAGAGAGAGAGAGGCAGAGACACAGGCATGGGACTCGACCCCGGGTCTCCAGGATCCCGGGTCTCCAGGATCACGCCCTGGGCCAAAGACAGGCGCTAAACCGCTGAGCCGCCCAGGGATCCTTCTGTTCCTTTTCCATCACAGCTTTAACTGTGTCATTATTCGGTTATTATCTGGGGGCTGTGTCCTCCACCAGAAGATAAATTCCAGGTGGATGGGGATTGTCTCAAGTATTCGCCTTGTGTTTCCAGAGCTGAGGGGAGTGCCTAGCACACACCGGGCACTCAGTGTTGGAAGAGCACATAAATGAAAACGAGAAGGATCTAAGTGATGCTGGGCAGCAGATCAAGGGAGGACCGATGTCAAGTAGTTACCAGGAGGGGGTTTGGGTCTCAAAGATGTCAACTCTTTTTCAAACCTGGAGCCAAAATGAAAACAGCAAGGGGTCTGTGGGGCATCTCAGCAGAGGCCAGGCAGCTGGCACAGTCTCTGGAGTAGGCATTTCTACACCAGAAAAGACTGCCCCAGATTGGAGGTGAAAACTGGCTGCCTCCGGGGAAGTGCAGACACAAATGTGTTTGGTTTAGTCCTCTTGGAGTTCAAAATATTTTTTAAAATTAGTTTCCAATACTTTAGACTTGGAAGGAGTCACATGAAAGTTGTATCTGAAGTCAGTCTTTCAAAGGGCTGAGTGCAGCCCCTTTAGACGATGCACGCTCTGCTGCACAGCACCCACCTGGCCTCTGCCCCGTTACCTGCCTGACCTGCAAGCACTGATGTTTAGGTTCCCTGGCCTTGCTGCCGTGAAGACCCCTTTTCCTCCAACTGTCTACGAAAAGGATCAGAGGAATAATCTTTTGTTGTCATTTTTAAAACGATTTTTTTTTATTTATTCATGAGAGACACAGAGGCAGAGACACAGGCAGAGGGAGAAGCAGGCTTCCTGCAGGGAGCCCGATGTGGGATTCGATCCCAAGACCCAGGGATCACACCCTGAGCCAAAGTGGTTGACACTCAACCACTGAGCCACCCAGGCTCCCTGTTGTCATTCTTTTAAGAGTTGTTGTTTAGAATTCAGAGTGGTCATGGACTTTGTCATTATTACTCAGTATTCAGTCTGTTGTTTTGCCTGGTGTCCCCCGCTTCCCCCCAGTTTTCCCCCAATTTCTCGAGCCCCTCCCATCTCCAGATCAGCCCAAACATTGAGCATTCGCTCTCCTGTCCAGTCCAATCCCATCCCAGGTGAGTTGGGTGCTCTTCCTCCCTGCCACCGCAGCGATCTGTGCTTGTTATTTTTGGTAACTGACCTTGCCTGTAAGTCTGCTGAGGGCAGGAACCGAATCCTGTTCCTGTTGGTGTCCTTCTGCCAACACCAACAAGCTCGTTGGCAGCTTAGCACACGAACAAGGAAACATTAGGAAGAAAGCTTGAGTCTTTTATTTTCCTCATTCAGATCGACTTTAAACCCATAGCAATAAGGGGACAGGGGACATTTTGACAAATGCTCCGGGGAATCTTGGAAATATCCAAAACCGTGGCTACCCTCTATTCTTGATTACAGAAATTTAGGACCGTGAGCGAAGATCTTAGATGGAGAAAGTGCTTTTGGTCAGCTGATCTCTTCACACTGTAGAGAAAACTTGAACAGGATTGGCCCCTGACACTTGCTCCTATTCAGCACCTTAGCAGGACCCAGGTTTGCACCATCAGCGATGTTTTCAGCTCTGTGGGATGTGGGGTGTGGGATCCACACCTGCATGCTTCCTGAGGGTCCTGTGCTTGCACCAGCGATGGAAAATCTGCATGCTCTAGTAGAGGGTTGCAGAAACGACCACAGAGAGCCTGGAAAGGTCTCCTGGCATCACTTGGGGGGGGGTGTCAGAGGTTTGCTCTGGCTTTTAAGCTCTTTGTGTCACAAACTTAACTTTGAGAATTTGGAAAGTCATAGATCTTCTCCCCAGAAAAAGGCTGACACCTATAGTGCCTTTCACACAACTGTAGGGCGCTCCTGGACTCATGCCCCGATTAGGACCCCGGAAGCCACAGGGTGAAGGTTTTAATGTGCCGTCTCCTCAGCCAGTAAGAGTCAAGTCGTTCGTTCATTCATTCATTCATTCATTCATTCATTCAACTAGTAAACCCTAGACTGAGCCCACCCACAGCTCGAGGCCCACCGCCGTGCCCTTGGGGCGCAGCCGAGGTAGAGGCGCCGCGGGATCCCCTCCTATGGAGCCAGTGAGCGGGAGAGTGCGCCCCCTCCCGTACCCCGCCCCGCTCCGGGCTGCACCCCCCCTGCTCCCGCCCCCCCTTTCACCCCGGCCCCTGCCGCCTGCACACCCCGCGCCCCCGGGCCGTGCCCGCGCCCGCCCTCGCCCTCGCCCCGTGCCCCGGCCCCGGGTCCTCCCGCGGCCGCCCGCGCCCCAGCCCCCCTCCCCCCCTCCCCCCCGCCCCGCCCCGCCCGCAGCCGCGCGGTCGCTTCCGCGCACGTGACACGGGCGGCGCGTCGCGCTCTGACGAGATCCACGGGGCCGGGGCTCCCGGCGGCTGTCGCTCGGGCTGCGGCTGCCGCGGCTCCTGTGCGGCGCCCGGCGCTCGGGGCGCGGCGATGGAACCGTGAGTGCCGGGCGGGCTTCTCCTGGCCGCGGGGCGGGGGGCGGGCTCGCGGCAGCCGCGGGAGCCCCGACGCCGGGCCCTCCCCGCACGTGGCGCTCGGACCCGGGCGGGAGCGGCGCCGGGGCCTCGCGGGGCGGCGGGCGGCGGGCGGGAGCAGCAGGGCGGCGGCGGCGGCGGCGGCGGGGGCGGGGCGGGGGCGGCCGGAGCGCACCGCGGGCGGGCCCCCGAGGCCGGCTTTGGCCCCGCTCCCCGCAGCCCGGGCCCCCGCGCGCAGGGGGTTTGGGGTTTGCTGGCCACCGGAGCGGCCTCCCGAGCCCCTCCCCGCCCGCCCTGCGCACCCCGCGCGCGGCCGCTGGCCCGTCCGCACCTCGGTTAGGAGCGCCCGAGCACCCCGCTCGGCCTTTGCGCCCTAGCCCGGCTCTGGGGGACAGACGCGCTCCCCGGTGGCCTTGGGACGATGCGGGCACGTCGGGAGCCCGCGCCGGCCGCTCAGACCTCCCGGACACGGAGTTTTATGAGTTTTGATTTGCTGACTTTGGGCCTTTTTTCCGCTGTGAAGTTCAGGGACTTTATGTGGAAAAACCTGTCCAGGGCCCCGTAGACGCCGTCCCTAAAGCCGGCCGTGGACGCAGCGGAGTCACCTGGGTGCCTCCCAGGGGACATCCGGGGAAGGAGAGAGAGAAGATCAGAAGTTGAGCGCCTGAGTCGCAAAAACGTCAGAAGTCCCAGAGAAGGATGCCTGGAGCCTGTGCGCCTGGAGGGGCGTCGTGGCAGGAGGTTGCGAGGGCAGGTTCCCGCGCTGACAGGCCTGGGGGCTCCTCTGTGTGCTGGCAGCTCTAGAGGCGCCGCCGTTCGCGTTCGGCTTGGGGCGCCGCCCTCGTCCCTGAGTGGGGACGCAGAGAAGAGGGGCCGGGGATGCCAGAATGCAAACACACGTGATGGAGGGAAGGCCTTTTGCCTCCTGCTTCCTCAGAAGGCTTGCACTTTGGTTAATCCCTCCAGCACGGGAAGCCAGGGTGGCACCAGATGTCAGTCCTAGGTGGATGTTTTAAGGGTCTTTCTTTTCATTAACCCCCAGGCAGCAGGGTGTTGGCTGTACCCACCCTGCGCGACTCCAGGTGGACGTCAGTAGTATGCTTGGAATGCGCGTGAGGTTGCCTTCTGGAGTTGTGCCTTGTGACCCTGGGTCACAGTGGCAACTCGCATGTTTCAGTTTCCCTCACGTAGCCGGTCTCCTTGGGTCCACGCAGCACAGCAGCCCTGGGTGGTGTATGGTGGTGGATCTCTTACGGAGACGAGAGAGGCTGAGGGCTGGAAGGGGCGTGGGTCTCCTGGGGAAATCCGGTGCTGTTACCTGATGGGGGACTAGCCCAAGTGGGAGCTCTTAACTAAAGGAGGACTTGTAAAGCCGCAGTTTGATTGAAGGATCTTAGTGGGGTATTCAGGTTTCTCCTGCTGTGGCACAGTAGGCTGCATGATGCTCTTCTAGAAGCCATGCAGGGTTCTGTTGAGCCAGGGGCCGGGCCGCGGTGGTGGGATGTGGGTCTCTGTGAGGCCAGCCAGCCACCATTGTGTAGCGTTCAAGATGACATGAAAGAAGTGGAAGTCACAAAAAGCCTTTGGCACACATAAAAATCTTAGGAGAAAACAAGCCTGAGGATCTGAGGCATGCACTGGATTCAGGCGCCTGGTGGGGCCACAGTGCTCTCGTTACCATATGTGACAGAGAGCCCCATGGTGGGAAAGCTGAGAAGTAACAGGAGTGGGAAGAGAAGCCAGAGAACGAATGAGGTGGGGGAGAGAGAACGGAGGAGCAAAGAGCCCCTGGGGGAGGGCGGCTTAGGGGGTGGGGGCCTGCTCAACGCCCCCCCCCCCACCTCCCTGCGCACGTGCAGGCCGGCATATTCTTTTCAAAAGAGCAGGAGAGATTGCTATCAAAACCAGTCAGGATAAAGAGTTCCTGGTTCTTAAAGTTCTAAGCTGAAGTTTCCTGCAAACTCTGCTCCTCTTCTGATAATGCCAAGGAAGTGACAGGTGCTGGGGGTTCAGGAGGAGAGGCTGGTCTAGAGCCGAGCCGAGCGGAGCAGAGCAGAGCAGAGCAGAGCGTGTCTCAGACCTTTGCTACGGTGACTTCCTGTTTGAGAGCCGCAGCCCCGCACGTATTTGAGATTCCTCAGGTTCAACTGTTGCTTTGCTCTTGCATTTCTCTGCAGACTCAAATATGGTGGGTGTTTTGTGTGTGTTCCTTGATATTTACAACCAGTTTTTATTTATTTTTTTAAAAATAGATTTTATTTATTTATTCATGAGACACACACACACAAACACACACACCACACACAGAGAGAGAGGCAGAGGGAGAAGCAGGCTCCATGCAGGGAGCCCGACGTGGGACTGGATCCTAGGTCTCCAGGATCACGCCCTGGGCTGAAGGCGGCGCTAAACCGCTGAGCCACCCGGGCTGCCCTACAACCAGTTTTTAAAGAGCATGTTTTATGTATGTCTCTTTCATCCTGGGTGCTTTTAAGTGTAGAAGTGTATTAAGTAGACTCCTCTTCTGTCAGCAATGAAGGGATGGCACAAATAAATCAGCACCAACCTTGTTGTGGTTCTGTGTCCCGGGCCTTCCGAGCGGCACAGTGCTTGAGGGGACACCAGGCCTGGTCAGTATCCTTTTCTTGTAACTACAGTTTTTTATGATTGTGTCTCTTAGGGACCTTTTTTTTTTTTTCCGGAACCAAAATGATCTGTAGAGCTAATAAAAAAATAAGTACTTACCCTGTACCAGATACTCCTGTGAGCACCTTCTGTGCCCCACTTCATGTGATCCTCACAGCTACTCTCCCCATGAAGACGTTTCTCTTAGCATTCCCGTTGTTACAGATGACAACACTGAGGTGCGGAGGAGTCACACGAGTCTTCCAAGGTCACAGTACATCACAGGGCTGAGACTGAAGCCTGAGTAGTTGGCTCCAGAGCCCATGTTCGTGACATAAACGCTGCCACCTCTCAGTAACAGGTGGCAGTGACCAAGCACTTAACAAGGGCTTTTGTGTAATAGCCCATTTAATGATCACAGCAACTTGGGCGGTGGGGCAGCTCAGTGTTCTGAATTCTATAGCTCAGGGAGCAGCGGTCCTGAGAAGAGGGTGGCCCACCCCGGGTCATCCTGCTGGTCATGGTGGAAGGCCTTCCAGCCCGGCAATCTGCCTTCGGATCCCAGCCGCTTCCCCACCGGATGCGCTGCCTGGAGCCGGGCCAGGGTGCTGCTGTTGGCTGGCACCTTGCCTGAGCTGGCCAGTGTGTGGCTGGCTTCCTTGCTCTCTTTGCCCTGGGAGGGGTAATCAGTGGCCTAACTACCGTGCTCCTGGGTGCCAGTCATGGGCTTGCAGCCTGGCAAGGATACATATGAATTCATGGTTCCTTGAGGAGCATGGAGGAGCATCCTGTTCATTAAAATCTGTATTGAGGTCGTCGGGCTTTGAATGTTTGCCTAGTGGCTTTTTTGATTAGGGTAATGATCAATTATTTGTGATCTATTCAAGTTTGAAATTGGAATATATTCAGATATATTCAACATATTTCCCCGATCGAAATGTCAGTGTTTCTTCTTCTGTTCTTCCCCTTCGAGTTCTTCTTTTCAAAACCCATTCAGTGGTAGGTTTCAAAAGGAAGGATTTTGGTGAGGGAGCCAAAGAGTGAGAGTGAGAGCATGGCGGGCCTCCTTCCTGCCTCTGACCTCGGGGGTTCAGATCCCACCTCCACCTCCTGCTGACTGGGCCTCAGCAGTGAAGACCACCCCTCTCCACCCCGGGCCTCTCTTTTCCAGTGTGTAGAAGGGCTGATAATACTGGTGCTTAGGGGAGGACGTCGGCCCCTTTCTTCAGTTGATTGAGTTCTGGAGCTAGAGGAGGGAGGCACTACATTGTGGATCCTCAGGGGTATTGGTAGGATGAAAACAGGGTTTTTTTTTTGTTTTTAAAGAAAAAGAGGAAGGGGAAAAAAGAACTATTACTTCTGTAACGAGCCTGAGTTCTTCCTGGGTGTGTGCTGCACTGTCCTGGGCTCTTCATGCTTTCGTTTATGCCCCCCAACGGCCCTGGGGGGGTACTCTGTCTCCAATCTACAGGCGAGCGCGCTGGGGCCCTGAGAGTGCTCTAGCCTAAGTATCATTGTCGGCCTCTCGAAAGTCCAGGGAGGCGGGATTTGAAGCCAGGCTGACAGGCCGCAGGCCAGCGTGTTGGGCCACGGGAGAAGAGATTATTTTTATACAGATGATGAAAGAAAAACAAAATCTTCGCTTGAAACATGCGAATGCACTGAGAGATTGAAAGTCCCTTCCCACCCCCCAGATGCTAATTTTTAAATTCTAGAGTGGGAAATCTGGGAATGCATTGAACACGCAGCAAAATCTGTGATTCAGAAATATTCTCAGTTTTACCTACCTGCCGTATCGTGACTTGATGAGACCAGATAAAATCCGTATTTATAGAAGTGCTTGAGCCTCCTGGCTGCTGTTGTCTCCTGCCTTCCCCGCGGTGCTGGCCTTCACTGGGTTCTGTGACAGGCTGAGATCTTCCATCCCATCTTCATCCGCATCCCTGAAAGCGCCCTGAGGTGTTTTCTCGAATTTTCTGCTCTGCCGCATCTGTCCATGTCAGGGTTGTTCTGCCCCAGACCCATAAAGGGGCTCATTGAGTGTGTGCCTCCCCCATGGTTTGTCTCTAGTGCTGTTTTATCAGCTCTTACGGGGCCTGTGTGGGAGGGGAAGTGTCTAGCGGGAAAGTAATGTTGGCTGCAGCAGTTCTGGAGCGCTCGCAGCCCTAATGGGGACACTGGCTTTCCAGCCGGCCGAGCAAGGCCCTGACTGAGGGTGTGGGCCGAGGGGAAGGCACTTGCCTGGAGCTGCTCTGGCCAGTTCCCAGACGCAGAGGGCAAAGGTCAGGGCCATACAAAGCATTAAAAAAACAACAGTGGGAGAAAAAGTTGGAAGTGTGCCA